AAGTCAGTTGTCAGTTGTGTAGTCAATGTATACTACAGTCTAAAAGTCATATAACTATAATCATCAAAACATCAATAAAAWGTCACTGGTAATTCCATTTTTAATTCATAATTGCTATATATAATACCATTTCAAATAATCWTATATTGATCCGYTGTAATACAAAAAAAAAGATTTTCGTACTATACAAATCTATAATATACTGCTCTTATATATATAAGAATATAATAATTATATTATTTAAATATTTAAATTTACGCAGGAAATGTTGTCGTATTATTATATTATAAGATACTTTTAAGATATGGCACTTATCGTTTATGGTTATACTATCAGTATTAATATTACGTCCAATCAGGGGACAGGACGTGAAAATACATAGTTTCAAGTCGGACGTGAAAATAGCCACTGCGTTCTCAAAATGTATTTATAATTTTAAGTTATCCCTTGTTTATCGTGTTTGGATCTTACATTAAATCTAAACGTACTGGCAAGGGTATATCAAACAACATCTTTTAAACACTCATATATCGTATTTTAATGATTTAATGATAGTACCTGTCGAGATGTACAATAATCTTAATGGATAAATTCAAGTTTGAATAGATACCTACCTAAGTGTGTCATTTATACCTATTTTATATCCAGTGATTAATTTCATAATTATTTGCTACTGTTGAACAATAGTAATGATCAAAAATCTTAACTGAGGAAACTATTTTACTATAAATGAGTACCTAAATTAAAACCTTACCTATATTGATTTTTTTGTTAATTTTATTCAATTTAAGCATTTGTCCAGTGATTTTAATTAATAAGTATTTGCTACTATTGAACAATGGTAATGATTAGAAAACACGACTGAGGAAATAATTATATTGAATATATGTAATATTGATTGTTAAGTTAAATTTTTTTTTTGTTCCTATGATTATTATTTTTCTTATTCGAGTATTTGCTATCTTGAATTTCAAAATGAAGAAAATTTAAGTATATGAGGAATAAATAATACTTAGTATAATAAAAAAGATATACATCAAAATTATTTTATCATTGAGTATTTTCCAAGTATATTATGCTATTAAATAAAGATTTTATCATTGTGCACATATTCAAGATTTTCAAGGAAGAAAAAGGAATTGTATCAGATACCATGTCTGGTAAATTTTGACTATTAAAGAAATAAGTGCAATATCCTTGTGATATATCTACCAACCCTTATTAGCCTCATACTTTGATTTGATTAGGTTCATAACTAGAGTGCGGATTTTTATTCTCTTAAAAATTTGAATATATTATGCTTGTAATATTCTTTAAAAATATTAGGAAAATATGCATAAATATATTCTTATAACATCAAAATATGCACTTATATGCAAAATAAAATTTTGTACTTAGATTCTTTGTACTATGAATAGCTGACATGTCATATCTTACTCTCGTAGTTATGCATACATCCATGATAAAGATATTTTTACATAGAAATCCGCGCTCTATTCATAATTATTCCTTTTTGATTGTGTATCAAATTTTTCTTTAGTGAAAATCTTTATGATTATTATTTTTTAATTCGAGTATTTGCTATCTTGAATCTAAAACATGATGAAACACCATTTATGAGAGATAATTATACATGTAATAGATATAATTTAATGATAAATTTAAAATGTGATGTGTATAATGTAACATGCTGTTGTGAATCCCTGAATATTATATTATTATATGGTACTATATAACTGTTAAATATTAGTAGGTTAGTTAACGGGATTTGATGTATGGCTCACCTTAGGCCTACCCACAGTTAAGGAGGCCAGTCAGCCATACTCATAATAGCAGAGCATCTTAATTAACATATTATTTACCAGATAATTTTATATTTTATGTACAATTAGTTTAAAGTGTAACCATGTAATAAATCTGTCATTAGTACTTTAATTGAACATTATAAATTATTTGTGTTAGAATCTATGTTCCAAACAAMATTTTCTATGATGTATTTATTAAGTATTTGCTACTATTGATTATTCTGATAATAAATTCAATACTGAGAAAATATTAACATGCACAATTTATTTATATATTTTCTTAAGTGAATTTTAATAGTGTGCTGTTAGT